GGTGGCAAAGATCTAACCTTGTTTGGATGATTTAACTTATTTTAATATTATATTTTTATTTATTAATAAAAGAAGTCTTTCTATTAATTCTTGCAATTTAGATTTTGATAGAATTAGATAAAAGTCTATATGATATGTATTGCATTAATGATTAATTGAAAGATGTGAGATAAATATTAATGTCTTTAAATGATATCATTAAATATCCCAAGTTGTAGCATTGTCAAGAATGGATATTGACTATATGTAGTAAGATTTATGAGTGCTATGCTCATACTATAAGATAATAGTAAGAGATCTCACACCTAATGGCATGGTGATGCCAAAGCAAACATTTTGATGATTAATGTTAGAGAATATATCACTAGACGTGATTCGTCATGAGAATTCATTTGGTTTAGTGAGAATCTCATACTAGATGGGTACAACTTGTCATGTGATGTGAAGTCATCATGGTTATTTCATTAGAGAATTTATATACTTTGACACTCGTTTTGATAGGCTCGATCAAAAGCTACACATGGATGATTCATTGGGTACACTAGGAATCAATGGAGATAGGTTGATGACTAAGATAAGACATGTCCTTCTTTTTATGCTAAAGGAGTTATCATATTGCACTTCGATAAATATCCGCTCAAAAAATCTACGGCCACAATGGGAATATACTAATAAAGCATAGTTGGTTTACTCTAGAGCTAAGACATTTAGAAATCGAAAAAAATTTGTATGATCATAGTCAAGCAAACTATAAACTAAGTTTGAGATCATACTATGATAAATTAACACGAAGACTAAATTGTATGGTAACCATGCTCATGAAAGATAATTGCGGATAAATTAATCCTCTTAGAGAATTAATAGTCATGATACCTTACTAAAAGCTAATTTTGATTTATTTATCAAGAGATAAAAGGGTGTCTTTTATTTCGATATATTGCTAATATATCTAGGAGTCTATTGAGTCATATGCATAAATTTAAGCATTCACATAATAAAAGAGAAGCAAAGATATTGGAAAAGGTTTTCATTTTTAAAAGTTTCTTATTTTGGAAAAGGTTTTCAAAAATGAAAAGTTTTTTTATTTTGGAATGTTTCCTGTTTTGAAAAAAGTTTCCTAAAATGAAAAGTTTTTTATTTTAGAAATCGATTTTCTAATTTTCAATTCGACTTCAAATTTGAAAGTAAGTTACCTAAAAAGAAAATTATTTTTCTAATTTGAGTTTGAGGGTAATTTGAAAATTGTTTCCTAATGTGGGATTCCTAAAAATATTTGAACCAATTTTTTTGGATGGTTTAAATTAATTAGGAATTAATTGAGCCAAAAGCGTTTGGGCTAATAAGCTTAATTTAAAAGCGTGCAAGATATTTTGATGGAAGGATAAACTTGAGCCATATTGGATAAGGCTCATGGTTTACAAGGATAAGATCAAATAAATTTACATATGTTACAACTCCTTATCCTTAGAGGATAAAGATTCCACCTCCTTATATAAATATAGGGAGAGAGGTAGAAAAATGAAGCAAGAAAACATACACACATAAAAACAAAAAAAAATTAAGGAAAGAAAACGTTTTTCTTCCCAAAAACTTGAGTTATTGTATCCCTCCCTAAAAGCTTAAGTTGCCAAAAAAAAAAAAAAAACCACTGAATTGATTTCTAGAGAAAAGTTAAGCACACATAAGGATTGGAGCTAGCACTCTGTAATTTTTGTAGCTTCTCTTATAGGTGTTTAAGTTGTGTCGATTATCGATAAAAGCTGAATACTTGAATAGCTTCTTTCTGCAAAGGCTATATCTATGCTATAAGAGATAATCTTTTAGCCATAATTTTAATTATGTATGTATGATTAGTTAATTCAATGACTAGATCTTAGGAGCCTTAGATAGAGGAATTGCTTTTTTATTCTACACCTTCATAGGATGCATGATACTTCAATGGGTATCAAAGCTTTTATTAAATCTTTAATTATATGTTATGTTAATTATGATTAACGGTATGAATATAATGAAATTCAAACACTTTCTCCACTTGATTCAACCACTTAACAACCCATCGGAGCTTAGCTTGTCTTCAAATTTAGGGATCTTAAGCTTTACTTTATAATCTTGGAACACATGCGGTTCCCTACGCGATCTATCAATTCGTAAAGCTACCTCATCTTCTTCAAAAGATTCGGTATGCATGTCAAGGAAAGGATTCTCCTCCGGAATCCCCTCGAGAACTCCCCTCTATCCATTGACTCATGTCTTTCTTTAGGAACATGGATTGCCTCCAACTCTTGATTTCTATGTCGAATTCTTTGTTGTCCTATTGCAATTCTTCAATTACCCTTTGCATCTCAAGCATGGTCATTCGGTTAATTAGTGCTCTTCTTGGTGGCATCCTTTTATTAAACTAAAACATAATAGAAAGCAAGCCTCATTTCGATACCAAACTAATGTCGAATCGAAAGATGCCAAACCCTACAAAAGCTCAAATACACAAGCACCAAATAAATAGTCCTAGGTCGAAACTCTCTTGCAACACACTAGCCTAAAAAATACGCCAAACTATTGTCAATCACCTCATAATCACAAGCCAATACACGATCAAACAAACCCATAAACATAAATATGACCAAAACCTAAATTCACCAAACAATAATCACGAAACCCACAAATATGGTTAATGCGTTACCTAAGCAAATCAATTTAGAATAAGTTGAAATTTTACGGAAAACATTGATAAGGTCTAGAGGTATGTGTATATCAAATTTTAGGTTAATCAAATCTCTATAGACCCTTATTTCAACAAATCAAAATTCTAGACAAAATAGGTTTTAGAAATTACAACCATTTTAACAACCCAAAAACCCAATCAAATATTTTTATTTTTTTTTTAATTTTTTTCTCCTAGAGTTAAATCGACCCCTTAATAATAGCTTGTCAAAATTTTAGATCACACAAAAACCTTTAGCCTTGGTTATTAACTTTGAGAGAAAAATTGTTTAGTCTTAGAATTCAAGTCAATCTCCAATTTAACAATCAAATAAATAAAAGTGTAAGCCCTAATGTCTCACCCTTTGAGAGGAGTCCACCACTCAAGATGATTTACGGACTACTTACAGGATATGTTCTTTAAGAGTCGATCCGACACAATTATTGATATGAGTTCATCTTAATCTATCACTCTAAGGATGTGTTTCACGACTTTCTAGCAAATCCAAACAAACAAATATGCAAAAAATTATAGAGAATTTTTTTTTAATTTTTCATTCAAAAATTTATCAAAGTCTAACAAAAGAGAAACACAAATTGTGCTTCAATACTCACTCTCTTAATCCCTAAAAGATGCGGCTAAGATTGAGTTTCCTCTCCTAACTAGGATTTGGCTTTTTCCATAACAAATTTAGATTTATGTAAGTCACATTCAATTAGGATTTAATTAATTCGGTCCAATTAAATATGAATCCACTGTTATATAAATTCATAAATAAATAAGGGCTCCTAATAAAATAAAGATTTATAACACTCCAGTCACTCACCTAAGCCATCTATTTGGTTAAGTCCTAAAACAAATAGAAAATCCAAAAATCATGGGAACTAATTAATTAGCTGCTGTTATGTTTTTTTAATCAAACTTTGATGTTCGGGGAAATTGCTAATTCACCTTCTCCTTCTGCTTTGCAAAGTAGTTGATTCGTCGTACATTCCTTACTTTTTATCCCTTCAATGTGAATCTCATATCAGAGTTCAGAGTCAACAATCATTGCCAAATATATAGAGTCTACCATTCAACATTAAATCTAACGGTCAGCAACCGTCTAACTTTCAGTGGTGCTACTCATGCCCTTTTCATAACAAGCAATTCAAACTTGGCACTAAATTCTCTTTCGTCCCAAAACACTCATTCTCTATCCTTCAACTGAAAGCCAATTCATATAAAACCAAACATCAATTACGTACTATTCCATTAATTGTTTATACTAAAATAAAAGTAACTACATTAACTGGTTGCAATATATATATGTAGTTCTGAATAGTAAGTTATGCTATTTGGATGCAGTGATTAGAGTTGGACGATTAAGAAAAAATTTAATGAAAAAATACTTTATTTGTCTAAAAAAATTGTTTCTCTTTCTATTTATATATATTTTATTTATATTTATCTTAAAATATTTATGTGGTCAAAATTTTAAATATATATTTTTAAAAAAAATCCTTCAATGATAAAAATATCAATTTTTTTCTATTTTCTATTCTCTATTACCAAAAAAATCAATATTTTTTATATTTTTCTTTATTCATACAAATATCTTTAAAACAAAATTTTCAAAAAGAAAATTTTCTTACATGAAGAACATTTATTTTTGTAAAAACATTACTGTAGGCAAAATTTTGAGAGTAAAATTTCTATTATTATGCTATTTTTGAGAGTAAAACATTTCTATTATTGTGCTATTTTTCTATAATTTTAAATTTCATTATTAATCAATTTAATGATTTTTTTCTTTAATTTACTATTTTAATTTTAAATAGATTTTATCTTAAATTGATATTGGTTTAAGAATTAAATTTGATAGCTAACAATTTTAACAAAAAAAAATTATTTTAGAAAAATATAAACAATAAATGTTTATATAATATAACAATTGCTAAATTTTTTAAATTGTGTAAAAAGTCAAAAGAGATAATTTTTTTTTAACAGAGAGGAAGTAAATAAATAACACAGAAAATGACACAAGAATACGGAGGAAAGGGATTATATCAAGAAGCAAAGACGGATCAACTTATTGAGTATGATAGCGCTAGTCTTATCTAAACTGGAAGTGGTATATGGTCCATTTATTGAACTTCTGATAAAAGCGAAAAAGAAAAAAGTCACTGAACACTAGCATACGAAGAGAAAGAACAAGAAAAAGCATAAACATGGATTTAAAGAAGGAAACCCGCCTCCAGGATACTGAAAAAAAGAAACAAAAAAAGAGGAAAAGGTAGCATATGCCCCTTCATCATCTTCATTCTGCAACATACTCAATACTGACACCACCAATGGTAACAAGATCACCACCCTTCCTTGGCAGCAAAGTCACTATAAGGGTATCATCACCCTCAGCTGCCAAATCTTCCAACGATTCTGTTATCCCCAATACCAAATTTGTCTTCGACCTTTTTGCATGCTTATGAGGCACATTAACGAAACATCCTGCAAACTCAGTCGTGCCAGGTTTACCAGCTGAATCAGGCTCATCGTTGACGAGGACATCAAACTTAATCAATTCATTTTTATCATACTCAATCCCTTTAATCACCAAAACTTCATCCTCATCTTCTTTCTCCTTTGCACTTCTTGATTTCTTGGGCCTTGAAACCTCCACATTTATGACTTTATCCAGGACAAGAGGGAATGCACTAACTGGTGTTAATACAGAGGGTGATTTTTCCTTCCTTTTTATCTTTGGTGTTGGTTTGGCTTTTAGCCAAGGAAGAGGAACATCTTGATAGTCATATCTTAGCTTTTTGGTGTCCAGAGTATCTTTAACCTTAATTCGGACCAGTTCTTTGTTCTCATCCCAGAAAAGAAACTCTGAATTGAGCCAATCAGGATCCTTGATATCCCTTCGATTGCCTCCAGGTATTGTCTTCCATATAGACCACATTCGGTCAACATTTGAGTGATGACAATAAAATATGGGATCTCTCCCAGCTGAGTAGAAATTACCCATATTTTCCCCTTTAGGTTGTCTGGGGTCGCCGGTCCATATGTGAAGCTGTGTGTGTGGAGTAGTCTCAATTGTACCCATTCCAGGACTTGGATTATCACCAGCACGATATGGTTTTCCGAAAAACAGAGTAGGCTTCTTGGCACCAGACACCATTTGCCTATACATTACATTAAAATTGCTTGCATACAATTCATCTGGTTTTGTAGGGTCCGGATTGGGATCTCCTTTGTTGTAATTAAGATCAAGCAATGTCGGAGGTAGGTGATTCGGGTCGCGAATCGGGTCATAAAGTGGTGATTTCGGGTCATTGAAGATGGCTGGAATTTGCATGCCGGGAGGGGCATCCCAATTCCAAAAAGGCAAAGCGAAAGTTGGATCATTAATCAGTTTACCCAAGATTCTTTCGAAGTAGTATAAATAGGCTCTATGCCAGGGAAAGAAGAGCCAGGAGAAGTGGATTTGAAGATCTAAATCTGGAAACCCAGCTTGGTGATAAGCACCATTACAATAAGCGCAATGAACGTTGGCTTGGTTCTTGAAGCTACGTGGATCGTCGTCAGGAAGACTTTTCATCAGTGCTATGGCTTTGGCGTATTTAGCTACGTCGGCAGCATCAACTAAATGAGCAGCACGCCTAATGCGCATTGGGGACGATGAAGAAGGGAATTTGAAGTCTTTGATCTTTGTGGTTGTTGGAGGGCAACAGTTCGAGGGGTCCTCTTTGCTGGGCAAATCAACTAGCTCGCATTGGGTTAACTCGGGGGCTTCAATTGGTTTAGCGTAGGCAAATGGATCGCCAAGACTAGTTGCTCCATAGAGTCCTCCGAGACCAATGAGGACATCTCTTCTAGTGGCAGGGTTTTGTTCATCATCAGTTGTGCCTGATTTGCAAGAAACAACGGGAATATAGTGATGGTTTGGCTTTTTTATTATGGAAACTTGATGTGGCTTTGGGAAGGAAGGAAAGAAAGAGGAGGTAAAAAGAGGGATGCTAGTGCATAGAGAAACACAAGAGGCCATGGTTTGGTTTGGTAGTGGTGTGGTGATCGGCTAACGCCTCTTGGAGACCATTTATAATGAAATGGTTACGTAAATAGGTTGGCTTCCGTGCAGATTGTTATTTTTTAAAAAAATTACTGATGTCCTTTTCCAACGCTAGCTTCCATGCGGAAAATATTCAATGGAAGGGAATGGGATCCTTAAACTTTGTTAATGATTACAAATACGTCGGTAAGATAGTTGCCAACAGGATGGAAGGGGGGAAAAAAAACTAACTAAAACTGTAAATTATAAATTAATCTTTTTATTTTTGAAAAACAAATTAATTAGTTCTTCAAAACTAATTATTTAATCCTTTAATAAGTGTTAATCATTTTCAATTCAATAAATTATTTTATTTCCAAAAAAAAATTTCTCGTCAATTCTTTCGAAATATTTACTTATTTTTTATTTTATTTTTAAAAAAATCACACACTAAAAGAAATTTATTAAATAGTGATGGAATTTAGCGATAAAATCAATGACCTCGTTAAATAGAAAAAAATAACTATAGAACAACAATATGTTGAATTTAAAGATAGATTAGAGATGGAATAACGATTATATTTTAGCGGTGGATACAAATCGTCGCTAAATTTGATAGTAAAATCTTATCGGATATTATAAAAAGGTTTAGCGATGAATTTGCTAGAAAAAATAGCGACAAACCCGATATCTATCGCTATTTTTGTTTTAATGATTTAGTGATAGAATATTTGTCGCTAAATTACAATTCCCTTGCAATTTAGTGATTGTAAAATCCGTCACTAAAGGAGAGATTTTTAGGCAAAATTGGGGCTAAGCTTTTGAAAGAAAAACACCATCAATTTTACAATAGATTAGGGACGGACACTTAAATCTGTCACTAAATGTGAAAAAATGGGCATCCAATTATTCAAAATTAAATGTCTATTTAGACATGGATTAGCGATGGACTTAAGTGTCCCTCGCTATTTAGTGATATACTAAAGATGGAATAATATCCGTCACTAAGTTCCAGCCTTACTTTAACCTTTTTTTCTTCCTCATTTTCATTTTTCTTCTCTCTCTCCATAACCGAGTAACTACCGCTATCCTCCCACCCTCTCCAAACTCCACGAAACTTCACTCCTCCACTCTCATTCGATTCCCATCCACTTCGAGGTCTTTTCTCCTAAAAAACTTTGATTTTTTCTTCCATCCTCTTACCTTAATTTCACTCGAATTAGGTATGTTATTCTCGCTTTTGTTTTCTCAATTAAAGATAGTAATTTATTATAATTATTAGACTAATTTAAGTCTAATTATTGGATTTATGATTATTTCTATATTTATTTATTATTTTGTTGATTTATTTGTTAAATTGTTTTTTTTAATTTGTTAAATTTGGTTAATTGTTAGATTGATTAGTTAATTAATTATAATGTCAATTAAATTAGAATTTTTTAATTAATTAAGTTGATTTTATTTAAATTTATTTAATTAATCAAGTTAATTATATGTTTATTTGGTTGAATTAGACTAAATTTGTTAATTAATTATAATTTTATTAGCTAATTGTTTAATCAGTCTTAATTAAGTTAATTTAATTGTTAATTCAAATTTAATTTGGTTAGAATTAGAATTAATTAAGTTAATTAGATTTATAATTAATTAATTAGGTTAATTAGGTTTAATTAGTAAAACTAAAAGTTTATTTATATTAGAAATTGCTAATTAATTCTTAATTTATATTTAATTTGGTTCAAATTAGAATTAATTAAGTTAATTTGATTTTAATTAATTCATTATTTAGTTTAATTTTTTTTAGTTAATTTTTTTTAATAGGTTGAATTAAAAATTTATTTCTATTTGAAATTGTTAATTAATTTTTATATAAATTAATTAGGTTAGGATTAAAATTAATTATGTTAATTTTAATTTTAGTTAATTAATTAGGTTAATTTTGTTTAACAAGTTGAATTAAAACTTTATTTGTATTTGAAATTGTTAATTAATTGTTATATAAAATTTAATTTGGTTAGAATTAGAATTAATTAAGTTAATTTAATTTTTAATTAATTAATTAATTAATTTGGTTAATTTTTTTAATTGGTTGAATTAAAACTTTATTTATATTAGAGATTGTTAAATTAGATTAGCTTTAGAATTAATTAGTTTAATTATTTTGTACATAATTATTAAAGTGTGTCAAGATATGCGATAGTGTATCGAACTTGAGAGGAATCATAGACACTTAAGAACTAAGGAGAAATAAAGTTGATCAATGCTCCGCAATGGAGCAGGAAGAACGAGTTTGGGATTTAATTTTGATGGAGTATCTAAGATGATTGTTGGTCAAGGTGTGTGCAAATTAATTATTGGTTGATTTAATTTTTTGTTTATGTGATCATTTAGAGTATTTGTTAATTGAAAAACGTGCAATTTATAGGGAAGGCTCTATCAAATTTTTTTTAGATGTTTAGAAAAATTATTAATTGAATAATTTTGTGTTTTTTTGGAAATGAAAAACAAAATAATGAGGTCCGATCGTGAATGGATGTATGTTAGGTCTATTATACTTTTTTTTCCTTTAATGTTTGTTATGCATTTTAGATGTGTTGAATTTTATTTTTTTTAATTCATAATATATTTTATGTCAAATTGTTATTCATTTATTAAACTCGTTTTAGGTGTTATTCTTGAGTCATATCTGGTGGATTGGGTAGATCTAGTTGCGGTGTTAGTGGGCATAGCTCGATATTGACTAGGTGACTAATAGTGGTGGTGTATGTGGATGTGGCACTACTAGTCCAGTTGCTCGAAATCACAAACTTGATAGTGATGCCGGCACATCTTCATCCCCTCTAGTAGTGCCCCCGCTAGCAGTGCCCCCTACTATGGATTAGCCCATTATGGTTTCCTCAACTTTAAGGAATTCTACTAGATCCGATGATGGATGAACCATTTAAGTCATGAATAACTAGTAAATAATATGTTTTACATGTGATAATTAGTTTTATGTTTTCATTTATTTCAATTTAATCATTAATTCCCTAATTTAGTATTTATTTGTTTTGTTCAACAATTTGGTTTCATCAAGCAATTGCTCTACAAAAATCATCATAATTTTTAAGAAGCGGTTGGACATTGCTGGTTTCACATGGAAGTCTATCTCTATAGAGATAAAAGACTTCTACTTCAATGAGTTTAGGGTAACATATTAATTTTTTTTATTATTTTATTTAAATTATTAATTTAAACATATATAAAAAATACTAATATTACTTTTTTCTTCATATAGAAGTGCTTTTTATGGGATGTGGTCATCGATGTAATAATTAAGGATGCATGGGAGAGCCTAGTACGAATGTAGTATGGTGACAAGCTCAACAAGTTGAAGAATAAGGATAACAAACTTGTGTATGTTAAACGAAGGTATGGGAAGCATGACACCGGGATTGAGCCACTCTTGAATATCGGGCCCGATCTCAACAAGCATCTCGGAACCTTATGTCAAAGACGGATTGTGTCGGTGCTCGTTTGTTCATACAAACTTGTTGCTTCTCATTCATTTACATAATATGGTTGTTTAGGTTGATCTAATATAAGGACTCGCCTTTGTTAGTCTCTCGTTAGTGCAGCATTCTTCTCTTCTAGAAAAGTAATTCTTTCTTAGGTCTCACCAAATTGTTCCGCCAATGTATCGGTATCATATTGTTTTCCTTGTAGGATGTCCTCTAAATCTTCTTTTTCTTTCTTGAAGATTTTATTTTCCATCCTTTAGATCTCCAACGGATCGTCAAGTTAAAAAAATTAAAATTACTAGCCATTGATCTTAGTGAATTTTAATGCTGATTCGGTTTGTACTACTTAGTTACTTTCAATGTTTTTTTTTTTTTGGTTAGTTATGATTTGTCAAATTTATATATCTTCTTCTACATACTAAACCTTAGCCTCTATTTTTTCTCTTTACCTCCTTCATCAATTTTAGTTTCTCAAAATGATATAGATGGTGATGTTGTTCAATGTTTTGCAAGTGACTCATTCATCGAAGGGCATAGATACATTATGATACTTCCTGTTTTGATTTTTGTGGAGTCTCCGTACGGTGGAAGATGGAAAATGCTTTGGGTGAAGAAATTAAGGTTATCAATGACACAATGGGACTTGAAGAGCACGTTATATATGCACTCGTCAAGGGACATGGATTCCATATTTGTTGTAACTCTTGTTCACAAGGCAATTGGAGACAAGCTTTGTTGTGTTTTTGTTGCTAATGAATTGTTGAGGTAAAGGCAACTACCTTTTTACATTTTTATTTTATTTTAAAGATGACTCAAATAGTTAAGCCTTTTTGCTTTATTCATTCTATTCTGGTTGTTGGGATGGTTATGTCGAGAACCGATAAAGAAGATGAATTCCATAGCAATATTTTATGATTATTATGAAGAAGCATGTCATCTAGCTACTTACCGCATAAAAAGTGGAACTAGTTGTTCTCTCTCACTTCCGATGGCCAGCATATGATGCAATTATGGAACAAGTGTTTAATCCTTTAGTTTTTTTTTCTTATGGATCTTTGATGACTTTTTATGTATTAAAATTTGATAATTACAAATTTAAGAATATTGTATAAGTTATGTAATTTTTTTTATTTGCATTCAATAGGATGTAACTTTTTTAAAATATATTTATTTTTTAACAAAAAAATAAAGTAATTAATTGAATTTGAAGGTCAAATAAAACTACAATGCTAAAGGCGACTAAACAACCACCTTTATTCTGAAATTTGAGGCGGTTTAAACCCCTTATAAAGTTTATACTTTGCGATGGTTATGAATCGCCCTAAAAATTTCGTGCAAAATTTAAAAAAAAGATAGGATGGTAGAGGCCATGCTCAATCATAGCAAAAATTAAGGATCAAATAATTCTAAAAGAGGCATTGTAGAGGCGATTGCAAACGCCTCGAAACTCACTTTGAGGGGTTATAACCATCGCAAAAATCAGCCTCGAATTCCCAATGGTTGGCAAAAATGCCGCCACCCTTTAGAGATGGTGACATTGCGGACGATTTTAAGGCATTTTTAACAATATGTAGAGACGATTATAATCGCTTCTAGAAGATTAAAAAACCACCCGCACTACCCTTTGTTGGTGTAGTGTAGAGTGTTTATTGCATCTTTTTGGAACAACTAATTTAGGCTTAAGTCTTCACTTCCCATATGAGCTATGGAGGATGGTTTTGAGAACGTGACATAAATGGGAGGAATGTGAATCTCTTTTTGTTGGGATCGTTTCCCTTAATATAGACCATTGCTCTCTAATAATCCTTATTTATCGACTTAAAACTTACTCTAAAATGCTCGGTCTATAATAACCTCATATAGCTAACCTTTTCCGGCAATCCTTGGCTTATGTCAACTTGTGGCAACCCATAACTCACCATATACTTGATTGCCAGCTTTATAGCTTTTGATAGTTCAAGCTTTTTTTTTTTTTTTTTAGGAATTCCTTATAATTAACTTGATATTCACCTTTTTAAAGCCATATAAATTTTTGTCTTGAGCTTTCTACCTTAATGTATGGAACTAACAAGTTATTGGCCATAGTCATAGCCTCCTCGGTTTTCACTAAAACCAACCTCTCTTTGGCTTTATACTTCAACTTCGATGCAGTGAGGATGTAATAGCTCCAATTGAATGAATCTATAGTCTTCCTAATAACACACTATAGGTTGGCTAGATGTATATGACTTGAAGGGTAACTTGAAACCGGTGTGACCTAATATCTATGTCAACATCAATGTCTCTAATGACTTATTGAAGAGTGTCATTATAAAACCTTGTCATCATTTTGTTATGCTTTACATAAGAAGCATCAATCGAGTAAGCTATCTAAGCACATACCTTCGAGCATTTAAAGGCCGATCCATTATCAATTAGCGTTCTTGTTATTATATGATCTTTTTATTTCATAGTAATGTATAGTGTCCCGTTATGACTCGGGCTTTCGAAACCTAGTTCGTCTTTAATAAGTACAAGTAGTTGGTGGTATGCATTTTATTGATTTAATATTCTGTGGACTCGAAGGTAATGTCTTGTAAGACGTAAGCTTTATTAAGGAATTTTAGTAAAGCTTGGCAGTGAGGCTCTAAGCTAAGGAACAATGATAATAAAGAGATACGAGCATGGTTTTCTTCAATCGATCCACTATGCTGCATTCATTACACTTTATCAATTTTAGAAACTTAACTAGCTCTCTTTCATTAACGAGCTTGTTCACTTTAGTAGTCTTTCGGGCAACCACCGTATGTTTTACCTTTTTTGCCCTTAACTTTTTTTGGGTTAAAAATTTACATTTCTTATTTATTTCTTTGACATCCAAATTAAAAAGGTCTTTATAATAGACTAGAATGAGCCTATAGAGATGGTAGGATTGTAATTATAAGGTTTAGTTTGGTAATTCATGATTTTCGGTGCGTGTGTCTTTAAGAACGGTTTCACTAGGCTCATTCCATCAACATGGTATTTATAGGGTTTTAGGGATTTCTTTCCGGGATTCACCTGTCGACTTATATACTTTAGACTCTTCTTCTTTCCCCTTAATTCTCGTGGTTCTTAGAGCCAACATAGTTTGAACTTCTTAGTAGAATTAGTGATAGTCATTGATATCATGCCTTTTTGATTTATGGAACTTACAAAAGCATTCGACGTATACAAGGACCTCCAATTCCATTGGTTATTTATCAAAACCATAAGCACAAAGTTAAATAAAGTTGACATGAAGAGACTTATGACTTTTTTGAATGATAACATATTTATAGCATTAGTGATAGCATGGCTTGGTCAAGGATTTGTATTTGTGTTTGGAGAATATCATGTATCCTCAAACAAGATTAAGCCTTGATCAATCAAATACTAAAGTGTTCTCTTAAAACCCTAACAATCTTTAATATTATAACCATTTATGCCATTGTGGTACTCACACACCTAGTTCAATGTGTAACTAGAAGAACGAAGGTTAGTAGCGGGGTGAGTGTCATAAGGATCATTTGGTCAATGGCCATAAGAACTTTGAAGAAATCTCTAAAAGAGATATGGAGGGGTGGCAATATGTTTCTTTCTTGTCCATAACTCGCACTTAATTAATTGTTTTCATCGATCAATGTCATTAAAAGCCACCCTACGACTCAAAGAATCTAAGTACAAGTAAAAGAGTCAAAAATAAGACAAGACTATTGAGCTAATCAATAATTCTATTACAACTAATGAGCATTTTTTTTGTAATTTGATAATAAACTCTAATGATGAACTATCACAAGTTGAATGAATTTTTTAGTTGCAATGAGAAAGGACTAATGACTATAAAATCATCAAAGTCACTTCGTGTCTATTTTCATAGCTAAGTATTGTTAATTCCAATGAGATTTGAGTTTTGTGCAATTCCAAAGGTCCTACAATTAGACCATGGCAATCCAATCATAAAAAATTTACACTAGCTAAATGAGTTGGATGATCTACAAAAGCAGCTTTCTCGACGAAAAAACCTAATATTCCATAAAAAAATTTAGGAATATTGGCAAACTCAAATGCACAACGAAAAGCTTTTTAAAAGGTATCATGTTCACACATATTGTCTAAATCTTTTCATGAAACAAAGAATTCATCAAGACATAGATTTCATTGTTTGGCTATAATATTAGTGAAATCCTACTTGTCAATATCTCATAAGTGAATGTAGAAAAAGAAGGTCCTAGTAGTTGTTCAAATATTTGAGATTTTGTCGAATAAAAAGTACATCGAACTATACTAATCTAGAAATTTTATTTCTCCATTCACCTATTTGACTTTGGCTTAAAATAACAAAAACAAAAAAGGTAATTTTTGGCTACCAAATCCCAGTAATAATAAAGACTTAACGTATACTAATGATGTATGGTTTTTTATGAATATAAACTAAAAGGTTGAACTTACTATAAAAAGTTAATGGCATCTTTTTAGCCGATGGATAAGAAATATTGGTTGAACTTTTCTTCTTTATACCCAAATATTTTTTACACTAGATAAAAATTGTGCCTAAAGTTTGATTAATATTATAAGGTAGCTTTTATAAGTTTCAAGCACTATAGATTTAGAGATCATTTTTTAATTATTTGATAAATGAGATATAAAAGATGAAATCTATAAACAATCTCAATAAGCGTTAGTACCTTTGTAATAGTAGCGAGAATGTTATAAGATTTTAATAATTATCTATTTATTGTAAGCATAAAGCACTAATGTATTAGAAAGCAATCAAAGAATATGATTCCAAACAATCGATGACAAAGAAAGTAAAAGCTACTCAATCACAAATCGCATCTTTAGACCCACGGAATCTTTAGACAAAATCAATATCCTTTTGTTAGCAAATCCAATTATAATCTTCATTGTCCTTAAATATCACTCCGTGCTTGCAACCAAGAAAGAGAATAAAAATAAAATTCACTATGAGTTTCAATTTGAATGGTTTTTCGGATAATTTTAATGCTAAACAAATAAAAGAGAGGTATTTCAGCTTTTTAGATAATATGAGATTGATTGAAATTTTAAAAAATTCTAAATACCGAGCAAAATAGCAAAATCTACATGCCCTTAATTCATAGTCGCCTACTATGTTCTAAGACGGACAAAATCTAAAGGAATCAATGGGTTTGAACAAAACCTTAATCCTCATGAAGCTTTTATCTTTGGAGAATGAGAATAAATTACAATTGACTTTACAAAGCAAAAATCAAATGTCATTTCCAAACTATTGATAGATGATGTCCATGTTCAAAGCAAGCATATCGAATTAGAATAATCGAATAGAGAACTCGAGAGGATGAAGACAAAAGAGAAGAAGAAGAAACCTAATAAACAGAGTTGAGAAAAAGAAGAGGTAGAAAAAGAAAGCTAAATAATCAAAATCGAAATGTGATTTTCTCCAAAAATAATCAGATTAAAAAGGAGAAGAAGAAAAATTCTAGATACGAAATAAAAGTCGAAAGGAGGGGTGAAATAGTGGATCAATTCTTTTCGATTTTCAAAAATTAAAAAAAAAGGAAAAAAAGGATAGAATTGTGGGCTTTAGAACTCAAAATGGGGAAAAACAAAAATGTAGGTTGTTAAAACTTAAGAAGTGGGGCAATTTTATTAACTACCTCATATTTATTATGTGTAAACTATGTGTAAAATAGAAACTATTACATTTTGATGCAATTCTATTGACCATCCTAAAGATTTTGTCCCCGTAGCTTTCTTTTGTTATAGTTG